ATTGTTGAGTATGAATCATGAAAACAATGGTTTTTTTTCACAAGTAAAAGAGCTTGGATAGTCAAAAAGGATATGGGCAGAAGTAGTAAGAAATGATTTAAACACCAATAATTCAATAGTGAATATGGATTTAAATAGAACGGATTGACAAAATGGAATTCATATAGCCGGTATCATATAGTTGGGGTAAAGCATGGATGATCATGATGGTGACATTGAAGTAGAGCTCCCTGTCACTGAAAATCTGAAGTGGAAGAAAAGATTGGTTGTTTTGATTTGAAAACAGTTAAACTTGCAATGCCCCTGAAGCTGATATACCTCCAAGGACAGGGGTTGATGGGTAGGCTGGCCAGAGGAGCAGTATTTTTCATTTATGGCCCTTTTATTGCCTCAATACCTAATTCCATTCTCAATTTACAATTAAAAAGTATACATTTCTTGGCTGTTCTTGGGTGCATGCTCAACATTTTGTCCTTTTGTTTAATGTGATTTTTTCCTATTATTCTTTTCTTAGGTTAGGTTCCATAGACTTGGATCAATATTATAGGTTACCTGTTCTTTTGCACTATATCTGAATTATCAATACCTTTGACTTGAGATTTTATTCTTAATTTGTGGTGCCTTTTATTTAATTTTTGAAGCGTTGTGGTATTCCTGTAATCTTAAATCAATAAGATAGTTCAAGGGAATAAATCAGTTTTCAAATCAACTGAAAATAGTTCTATAGTCATATATCCGCAATTTCCCTTCATCCATGTTTTTGCTTTCATGAGTCATGACCATTTTGATCAAATGAACCCAACCATTGAAGATTTTAGGTTGGGAATTTTGTCTGATGAAATCTAGAAGTATGAAACTGTGAAGGAAGAATCATCTTTATGTCATCTGTCACTTTTCTGGGCAAGTGATGGTAAGGCCTTATTTAATTCTGGCTTGCAGTTTGCATAGATTTAAATTTAGTTGATTTTTTCTTCACAGCATTCTGGTTCAAAAGATTCAAAACTAGGTCACACCAAGAAATATTTAATGTTTAAGGGTATCAAAGGCTGGGATAGACCTGGTGGGTTTAGAATCAGAGTGCCATGTGTAAGGTTTCATAGTAAATCTTCACAGTTCTTTTAACTTTTTCTTGCTGTGTGTTCATGTGCTTGTGGGACTTGGATCAAAGTTTAATGCTTTGTATTTCTACTGCTTGAACACGAGACATATAGTGTAGAGTTGTAGACTGATACTTATGTCATCTAAATTGGACTGAAGACACCATGAATTAAGTTTTAGAGAACCTAGTCCTCAATGTTCTGCTAATAATAGTAAAGCAAGTTGGTGTATTTGGCTTCACAATTAATAAATGAATAATGATTTGTCCAGTCTAGCCTGAGAAATATTTGAGATTTCACAACAAGGAATGAATAATTTTTAAATTGAAGAAGGCAATATGTAATTGTTAAGTACATGGAATACTGTTTGCAACGTATGCTTCATGCAACACTCCAGTCATTAAAACCCATTTATTCATTGAGGTGGGGTATATTACAATTTTTACTTTAAAGACCAATATTACAAAATGAATAATTTGGGCATTCAAACCTTAAAAGACCAACGCTAGAAAATGAATTAGAAACAGAGTAAATATCTTCTACTTCCCTAAACTGGTAAATGGGTACCAATATAGGTTAGCTCATATCATTGTCATGCACCCTCATTCATACCTAACTTAACAAAACTGTTAGATTTGGGAATTTGGTCCATTTCAGATTTGGGAATTCCATGCCAACTAACCAATGTTAGAAAGTGAATTAGAAACAACCATCCATTTAGTACAACAGGCATGTAGAAGAATTAACAAACAAATGTATTGAATGGACTTCTTCATAAACTAAAACAAAATGAACTATGTACAGAGAAATTGTCAAATACCTGTTAGTATGCTTCTTCAGTAAGGATTGTCTTCAACGCATTGGAAAAAACCATTGAAGGAGAGGGAGAGCAGCCGAAGTTCAATCGAGGGCCAGTCAAAGGTCAAGGGAAAAGTTACAGGAAAAAACAGTAAGAGAAGAGGAGCGCCGCTGGGGAGGAGAACTTGCAGTTGCAGTTGCAGTTGCAGAAGCAGTCAAAGAGATGAGAGTTGAGAGTGTGAAAGAACGAAAGTTGCAGTTGTAGAAGCAATCGAAGAGAAGAGAGTTGAGAGTGTGAGAGAACGAAAGAAAGAGAATAGGGAGGGCGGGAGAGAACAATGACCGTGGGCCTTAATAGGGTCATTTTAGTCTTTGCAATTAAAGGATAAATTTCAAAATAAAATTTTAAATAAATGTTATTGTGAGATGGAATCCGAGTTGGATTTCCACCTCACAGGAAAAGCATAAGTAAAAGTGTGATGCTTACATGGCGTGGGAATAACATTTCGATCTTATAATTTCAAAAGTTGAATTCGAGAGTCATTGTAAATTCTGTATGGACTGGCCTGGTGTTCAGATTTCTGCAATAGACCTGCCCGTACTTTTCCCTAAATTGTTCCCAATGGCATTCACCCATTGTTCATCATTTCTATCAAGAAATACCAGGATAAAGTTACCAATTTTCAAAGTGATATTGCTTTACTCTTAGACGATTTATCAATATTTTAAAAATCAATTCAGAATGAAACTGTTTTGGCCATGAGTTTCTGGGTTAGCAGTTCGACTGCCTAGTCCGAATGGATCCGTTCAGCACAATTTAAAAAATCAAAGAATAAAATAGTCTAAAAATATTTTACGAATTAACAAGTCGATGATTCGGCTTCCTGAATAAGCAGATCGCTAATCAATTCAATGGTTTTGGGCAAAATAACTGTTTGGAGTCAAAATAGAACTGTTACCCTGACCAATTTATAGCTTAATCAACGGCGGTTTTAAAACAATGCGCCATATACCCGTCTAACAATTAGGACCAAAGTACAAAAGCTTATAGGTTTCCTAAGGCGAAGTTTGTAGCTAATAACTACAATTAGCTAATCAAGTTCTGCCATGTTACACGTTGGGGAAATGCTCAGCATTTTATGTAATTTCGAAAATGTTCAATATTCCGGTTCTCTTACCCAACAGGAAACAAGATAGTACATGTACATCCAACATGCTTCTGCTTCTGCTCCTGAATCCTGATGGACGGACGAAGCGAGTTTGATGCGATCAATCGTCATTTCAAGACAGCTAATGCTTCTTTCCAACTCTGACATTTATGCTATGTTTGATCTGTAAGAAAAGTGAGGGAAAGAAAGAAAAATGTAAGGAAATTTTTACAAATCTTGTATAGATTTCTCTGCCTTTCTCTACATTTTCCTTCAAACCAAATACAGCCTTAATGAATCCTGTTCAATGTTGATAAATAATTTCATGCAATATAGAAGGTTGAGTATCATCATAATATTGGGGATGAGCTATAATTGATGACTGTCTATCTAACCAATTACAATGCTCTACTTTATCCATTGTATATGATCATTGTTCAAATAATAAACGCAGTGACCATCGATGATGGAGATCAAGAAAGAGAAAGAGATGATGGTGATGTAGGACAGTGGGAAGAAGAATTCAAGAATGATAGATTTATTAACAATGGAAAGGCCAGCGACAAGTCCAGATCCGGTCCGAAGTCCCAACACAGGGTCCCAACAGCCAACCGGTTCGAACTCAGTGAGAAGAGAATGGAAAACCTCAATTTCAAGGGTTCTAGAAATATTTTCTGCATTTAACGCTTGAGACAAATGGAATACCTCAATTTAAATGAAAGAGTTCTCTAGTTTTTTCTCTACCATAGTGAAAACAAGGCAAAATTGCTAGCAAGATGCCACGGGGATCCAAATAAATCAGAGGAATGCTTGGAAAGTAGAATCCAAATAAAAGAAGAGTCCGCCTTTTGGTTGAACCAGACAGAAAAGGACAAAAAATACATCAAACCTCACACTCAAGGATTTCATTTGAACTCCTTCCTTTCCTTTCCTCCGCCAAGCCTTAATTCAGAAACATCCACATCCCATTGGCGATTTCACTGTACACTGGTGTTCGTAGACACAAAATCCACTGGTGGCGGTCCGGCGGTAAGTGGTCAATATTCTTCTTTTTCTTCCTCCCATTACTCTTCCTCCTCTCCTTATTCTTCTTCCTCTTTTATGAGTTCACGCTTCTCGGACGCGAACTCTTTTATGCAAGCTGAATTTCACTGCTGCATGTCCTTTCAATTTTATCAATCTTCTTATTAATCTCTCTCTCTCTCTCTCTAGTCTCTAACGGCCTGATTAATGGCTGCATCATTTTCTAGTAACCTTACTGGATGAAGATTTATTTCCTCTAGTCGCTGATTTTTCCCTTTTGATTTTATTGCTTTAAAAGTAATTAGTGATAAACCTTTTGATTTTTTCTCTGATTTCACAATTTATGTCTTCATCCTCTTGTATTGTCAAAAGTGTCTCTAAAAGCCTTTTCCATGAAAACCAAAAACTGGTCTGAATCGTCTCATCCATTCTTAAAACAGTGTACAAATTCCAGCAACATGAAAGCTTGTTATATCCTCGCCAGTGAGATGTGGGATGTGAAATGTTTCTGAGTTAGGGCTCGGTGGAGGAGTAGGAAGAGGGCGTTTAAAAAAGATTGGAAGAAGAGAAAGAGTAATGGGAAGAAGAAGAAAGAAGATTCTCTGCTTACCACAAGACTGCCGTCGGTTGGATTTTGCATCCACGAATGCCAGTATAAAGTGAAACCACCGGTGGAATGCAGGTTGTTTATGGGTTAGGGTTCAGCGGAGGAGAGGAGGAAGAGGGAGTTCAAATGGATTTAATGTATTTTTTATCCTTTTGTATTCAGTTCAACCGGATTTCAGTTGCTAATGGTAAAAAGCCCATTAACTAAAATCAAAATTCAAAATGCTACGTGGTAATTCCTTAACGCGGATTCCTCACTAAAACCAAAATTCAAGCTACCCACATTAATTCCAGAATTGCTTTTGCAAATCCCGGCTTTCCGAACAAATGGAGAGAACAAAATGAGACTTCCTTTTCCCATAATTTATCAAACAAAACAGAAGTGACAAGTATTAGAAATGAAAGGAGGCTAACAAACCAGACATTTTTCTGGTACACAACTTTTACATAGAAGTGATGAATCGATGATTGATTAAATACTTGGTACACTATTTGGAATATGTATCCGAGTCTACACCAGTCAGAAAAATGCAGCAAACAGGAAATACCATCTGAGTAGTTGGGTTCTCTATGTATCGCTTCTACTTGAYGTATTGAGATAACCATTTGAAGCCATCACCGTAGCCCATTTTGCGAACAACGCTGCACATGAACACTTCAAGGGGACGGACATTTGAATCTGCAAGGATAACCTTCCCCTTGCCTGTGGTAAAACTCGTCAGCCCAAAGTGGTATCGCAGCTCATCTTCTGATGCCGCATAGGGTATGTCAATCTTGTTCCCCAATACAAGGAATGGAACATTAGCCAGAGATTCGTCTGAAAGTAGGGCATCCAATTCTTTCTTTGACTCTGCAAACCTCTCCTTGTCATATGCATCCACCAGGTATACCACTGCATCAACCTGAAACAAAAAGTACAAAGCATATCTACTGTTACCATTTAAAACTCAGGCACGCTTAGTAAAAGAACGAGAAAAGGGGAAAAAGTGATTATAAAAGCAACACGCAAGAAAGGAACTGAGAACACAATGATTGTCAAGATAAACTGGTAAAGTTTTCACCTATACCAAAAGCTACTTGGAAGAAAAATAAAATGAAAACCCCACATATTAGCCAAATGAATCAAGTAAAATGCAGGTGCCATTTTAATTTTCTAAACACCATAGAAACTCTAGAATGATAAGGAATGAGAATAAAAGCAGCTGACAAGGTTGGGGACCAGGTATACGGCAGAATGATCTCCTCAATCTAGAAATTTGGAGAAAATGACAGGAAATGAAAGGAGCTCCTCAATCTAGAAATTTAGAAATGCAGCTAACAAGAGAACAATCACATTAACATCAACAATATACCATGCCACCCAATAACCACAACAACAGTACAAGCTTTTTTGTCAATAACGGTATAAGCTTGTGATTTACTTTTAACATTCTATCGACAAGTTATACATGGAATCAAACTCAAGATCTTTAGTAATGCATAGAGATGCAAGTCAGGTATCCAATTTGAAGAATTTACAGAGCTTTCAAGTCAGGTCCATTCAAATTTAGGATTATGGCAGATAAAGGCAACTTTTGGGCCCTAATATCAATTAAAGTAATATTTAAAAAAAAAATTCAAAAATAGGTTAACTTTTTAAAAATAATATCAATTTAAGGCAAAAACACTGTTCATCTTCTTCATCTTGCAATCCATTCATGAGCACCCGCCGCCTTTGACAACATTGCCAAAGGTGGGCGGAGGCAGAGGCGGCGGCGGCACTGGTGGTCATTCCTCTGCCCAAGGCCGCCACCTCCGCCCACTTCTGCCTCCACCTCCGGCAACGTTGCCAAAAGTGGGTGAAGAAGCGGCGGTGGCACTGATGATCACTCTGCCCAATGCCGCCACCTCCGCCTAACCACCAGAAGCTACAGAACAGCAGTAATGGTTCAGCGCTGTATAAAGATAAGAGATTTCTAAGACTCAAAAAGGATCGGAACGATGGCGACTCCCATCCTATGTTTAGCATGAACAGTACAGTGCAGAGAGGAGAGAGAGAGAGAGAGTGTAGTACGTGCAGGTGCAGCAGCCCTCGGGCCTTTTTACGTAATAACTTCTGGTTTTGAGGTATAGCTTTTAAAGGCTGAGAGAGAGAGAGACGCCTTTACTAAAAGTAGAGGCGTGGAGTTGACTTGAAACAAATAAACATGCAGCGTTTCATGCGCTCATTCATCAGAATTTAGGCTGCGGTGTTTCTGCTACTGTCTGCTGCTGCTATCTCGCCCGTCTCCTCTCTCTCTCTCTGTCTCAGAGTTGGATTCCATGCATGCTTACATTAAATTCAAGAAACCCAGATGGGTTTGGGCCTTCGGAGTGAATGAAACAGGGCAAGCAAAGGAAAAAGAAAAACCAGAATAGCAGATAAGGGCAATTTTATGCAGCGCCGCCGCCGCCACTGCTTCCACCCACCTTCAGCAACATTGCCGGAGGCGGAGGCGGAGATGGGCAGAGATAGGCAAAGGCATTGCTGGAGGCGACAGCAGTGCTGATGAATGAATTGCAAGAGGAAGAAGATGAACAGTATTTTTATCCTTAATTGATATTAATTTTAAAAAATTGACCTATTTTTGAAATTTTTTAAAAAACATTATTTTTATTGATATTAGGGCCCTAAAATTGCCCTTATCTGTTATAATCCCTTCAAATTTATCAAAAACTAGGCCTGCCCAAGTTACACCCCTAGTAATGCAGAACTTGTTTAATAAATAATGAAATATTGACTACTAACTTTAACAAACTGGAATACCTCATGATTGAGGCTAACAAATATAAACTTTATAAGTAACAGCGCCAAGACTCCAGACTTGAAATTAATCCAAGCAAGAATCAAACAAGTGTCATGACAAATCAGGTGCAACAAACTCAAGGCTCTGTTTTTTCATTATTTTTTTACTTCTATTCTGATGAATACTATTTTTTACTTTTATTTTCATTTATTTATTTTAAAGTGCAAATTTGAACTGAATGCCAATTTGCCACCTGGTTCAAGTATGCATATGTTTGTTTAGAACTATTATTTGCACTTTCACCTGATGCATATCTTTTTTTTTTTGAAAGTGTAAAGTATATTTTTATTAATGATTAAAAGGGTAAACCTAAGTACAATAGGTACAGTAGCTGCACAAGCAGAGAGAATACATATTATTTCAGATATTGTGGTAATTACAAAAAGAGGGTTCGGTAGAGAGATTAGCAGAAATACTTTTTCCATCATATTTCGAATCACTCATCTATTTGAGAGGATTTGCCATAAAAAAAACTCTGCAGTTCATTTCCATCCAGATAGACCAAAAGGCAGCAGCAGGAAGCATACACCACACCAACTTGTCATTTCTAGAACATCCCTCCATATACCAAGGGAACATTATTTATGCATATATATCAACATACGTCCAAAAGCATTGACCCTAGAATATGACTAAGAAATCAAATGTTCCCTTGGTTCTCTTGGTACATACTAATCAAATGTCTTCTTCAGTAAGGCATTGAATGAAAGGGCAAAAGCCTTCATAAAAAATCATTCTTTCTACAATGATCCTTACATGTTCAACGCTTAAGAACCAAAAGAAATGCTAATGATCGTACAAGAAACCCTAAAATTTGAATGAAGTAAATACCAGATAAGGTTAAAGAATTATCACTATAATAAACAATTATTTACCAACTTCTCATTCATCAAGCAAGATAATATGTTTTCATTAAGAAAATCTTAAAGATTATGAGAATCAGTCATAAAGATTGTCAAGAGTAGCTAACCAAATTAGGAATGCCAACTCAAGTGCACTGAAAACCAAACCAAGTTTATGGGAGAAGGAGAAACTGGTTAGTTTTTGATAAATAATAAGAATTTTGTTAAAGGAGAGATTAATTACAATTTACAAAGCCCCACTGGGAGGTGCAAGGTGCAACCTCCCAAAACAAATTATCCTGTAAACGACTTTTTTAGTTAAAGCATCTGCTAATCCATTAGCTGATCTTATTTCCCACCGTACTCTAAAGGTCATAATGCTATTCAATCATTTAAACCTTTTCAGATCATCTCTGTAAGCCCAATTTATTGTGGGAACACTATAACTCCACTAAAGGAAGAGCAACATTTTCTGCACCAGAAATTTCAAGTATACTTTCACTCAAGCATCTCTCTCAGTTGCCAAAAGCAATGAAAAAAGGAAATAAAATTGCAAACCCATTCTGCAAGCTACTATACTTGTATACAGTCACCTGTGTCCTATAAGTTCTTCAGTTCCTCCAATCAACCCCCATCCAGTTCAAGATAACAACTTTAGTCAGACCTCTCATGAATCACCAAACCCTCTTCCCAAACAGGAAGAAACTAAAATAAAATTTAAAGTTAATATTGTCCACCTCATTTCAGTGTAATAGACAACGTTCTTGCATTACACACTATCTCCATTGTATATGATCAACCTTCAAGCCTTTGGACCTTCTCAGTTTCCTTGCCATCGTGGTAAGGATATCTGAAGGTTAAAAATAAGAAGTATCCCTAGAGGAAGAAATCTGCAGTTTCTCAATAACCACTGAGGCCCAGCAGTCTGGCCAGCTCCCAGTGACAGACCTAATAAGGAGTGAACTAAAGCTTAGATCTCTTACATTGTCATTGTACATGAAGGTATTTAGTATTTACTGGAGCCATCAGGGCAAGTTTGGTAGTCTTGCCAAATTAATTTCAATGTGCACTAGAGTAGTTTTGAAGTATATGGTGTGAAAGAAATGTGATAATATTTGCTAACAAGAAAAATGATTTAGCATCTTGATTGACCTAGTGACTGTAATACTACAACTAAAGAATTTGAGTACCCATGGAGGGTATTCTCAGGGGGTGTCAACTTGGTGCTGCCTTTGCTACACAAATGAATCAGATAAAGCCATAATGACTATGTAAACAATTGCGCATGATGAAGCTAAATTTTGATAGCAGATTGTTGAAGTTCTTCAGTTGGCTGATTGTCTTGCCAAACAAGGGGTCAATAGGGAAAGTTCATACTGGGTTGCTTTGTAATCTTTTCACTACTGTTTTTCTGTAATTTCTTTCAAGGAGAAGTTACACCTCGTGCCTCTCCTTGGGATTCCTGTAATAGCTCGCATTTCTTGATTATCACAATTCAATTATCAAAAAAGAGTCCTATTCCAGTGAATGAGATAAAGAATCTCTTTTGCAGAAAGTCTCAGACATAATCACACATGCTGGAAGTTTCCTGCTTTGAGTTTCAAGCAGGTTACCAGATGGAGGTTATGATTTAATCATCAAGCAACAAAATCAAAAATCAAGATACCACAAATAAAACAGCAATAGATGAATCAAATGCATAGCAACAAGACCAACAAGCAGATATCATAAAGAGGGGGATGATGTGATACAAAATACAAAATATAACCTTATATATTAATAAAATATGAAACTTGGAGGGAAAAAAGAACAAAAAAAAAAACTGAACAAAGGCTTGATCTTGCAACCTCTATTGAACCACTTAGGAAGCTCGTGCAGAAAAAAAGGAACTTAAATATTTAGATGCTAAATGAAAGTTTACCCTCTCATTAAGAAACTACTGTCAGATCATTTAATTCAGGTGGAAATCTCTCCCCACATATAATCAAGCGCATCCATGGCTATAACAGAATCGAGATTGTGTCTTACTCTGCACCTTTGGTATACAATGCAAGGTGTAACAGACTGTTATCCTTTGCTTCTAATGAAATTTAATGAATTTTATATATCAAAAAGATATATATATATATATACACCAACAGTAGACATGAATTCATGAAATAATGGTGCAAAAGTGCAGTATTACTGTATTAGGCAGAACAACCACTTCTCATGGATTTACAAAACAACACATCA